GTCCACTTTGTTTATAAAAAGACTGGCTAATCATCGCATATATTATATCATTTATATATCAATGATTAATGTACACACATTCATATGTGGTAAAACTTGTTAATCATACTGTAACAAGCAATCTGAAGACGCTGGGGGACGTGGCCTGTACTGTATTTAATGATAGCACATCATTGAATATATTATGTAAATGTTTTATTTTTTTGTGATTAGCCTACTTTGTCTGTACTAGCCTTAGGGTCAATCGTGTATGGCTCGGCGTCGAACTCAATTTTGAAAGGTTTGGATCTTGTGCAGAATGCTGGTGTGTGTATGTGTCTTGGAGCCCTGAAATGCACTAGGATCGAGTGTCTCGTGGAGTCAGGAGTACCTCCCCTTCGACTCAGACGCGGCCAACTAGCACTGACCTATGCCGCAAAGGTGGCTCGAGATCCGAGTCATCCTAATGGAAATTGTGGCACTAGGCCCTTTGCCACAAGACTCCACGACCTCGTCAAGAAAGTCGATATAGATCTCTCTACCATCGACACCCTGGTCCAGTCAAATATAGCGCCGTGGGAAACCCCCAACTTTTCCATCACGAGAGCCTGGCTTCCATCAGCCAAGGCCATGGTGGCGGAGGTCGAAGTACGGCAGAGGTTCAGAGAGATTCTTATTAAGCATCTCCCTTTTTCATATATATACCGACGGCTCCAAGACAAATGAGAGCGTTGGTGTGGGTGAATTTTCGACTGAATGTGAATTGGTTTAGATTGCTGAATTATACATCGATTTTTATTGCCGAACTTTTTGCTATTAGTAAAGCTATAGATTTTGCATTATCGTTTGATGAGTTTATATAAAAAGACCGGCTAATCATCACATATATTATATCATACATATATCAATGACTGATGTACACACATTCTTACATGGTTAAACTTCTTAATCAGACTATAACAAGCAATTTGAAGACGCCGGAGAATGTGGCGTGTGATTACAAATGGGACTGTACTGTGTTCAATGATAGTACATGATATGATAGTACTTTGACGCTAGAAATATATTATGTAAATGTTTTAAATGTTTGTGTGTGGTTAGCTTACTTTGACTACACTAACTTTAGGCCTTAGATATTTTTCTACTTGCTAACACTACGATATTTACTTTTTTACAATTAGATAAATGAGTGAAATACTTTGATATTTTGGAAATAATAAATGAGATTTGATAGCGATCAGATATAAACTTTATTACCCTTTAACTATTATCACTATTATCATTATCATCATCATTATAATAATAAGATAATAAAAAGATAACAAGAACAACATTAATAATAATGATAGAAATACTACTACTACTAATAGTAATGATAATGATTACAAAAATGTTAGTAATAATGGTAATAATAGTAATATTGATAGTATATCAGTAATATTTATAATGGTAATAACAATGAATATACTACTACTATTACTACTACTACTAATAATAATAATTATAATTAAAAAAATAATAACAATAATGATAACAAGAACAACAATAGCAAATATAGTAACTACATTAATATAAGTGACAATGCTAATAATAATAACTGATAACAGCAACAATGATAATAATGATAATATTATTATTAATAATAATAAGGATAATAATCATAAGAAATGATAACAATAATGATAATAGAAATAACTTTAATAATTTTATAATGATAAAGAACATTGGTAATAATGATAACATATCAGTAATATTTATGAAAATGATAATAATAAATATAATAATAATAGCAATAACAATAATAATAATGATAATGATAATGATAATAATAATAATAATGATAATAATGATAATAATAATAATGATAATAATAATAATGATAATAACATGGAACATGAGAAGTGTGATAGTTGTACCTGTGATTGTTGGAGCACTCGGTAGTGTAACGAAGAAACTGGATGATTGGTTAGAAAAACTGGATATCACAGTAAATACAGCACTCTTACAGAAGACGACATTATTAGGAACAGCCAGGATATTGAGAAAAGTACTTGAGTACTAAAGGACAATGACTCCAAGGGACCCTTGGTCAAGGGGTTTGACCCGCTCCCTTGGGATGGAAAATTCGGCTATTAGAACTGCCAGTGCTTAAAGCAGAAGTATATAATAATAATAATAATAAAAAATAATAATAACCATCATAATAACAATTATTGTTATTATAATAACCAATAATAACATTGACAATAACAATGCTAACAATATCAATAATGATAATAATGATAATAATAGTCATAGTAATAATGATAAATAATAATAATAGATGATAATAATAATGATAATAATAATAATCATAAACAGTAATAATAAGAACCACAACAATAAAAAATAATAGTAACAATAGTACTTACATAGTAACAATAATGTTGATAATGAATATGTATATAAGAAAGACACTGACAAAACCAGTGATAACAGTAACGAAAATATTAACGGCCCTCCCATGAACGAGACTCAAACA